ACCGCACGCTCCCCAGGGGTCCCCGATGACGTCCAGGCGGTGATGGAGCCTCGCGGGTCTCCCCAGAGGTGCCCCCCAGCCAAAGCCGGAGGGGGTCACACACTGCTCCCGTGGGGGCTCGGAGCTTTCTCAGCTCGGTGCCAACCCGTGCCGGGCTCCCCCCGCCTTTGTCCTCGCCGATTTGGGGCACATGACTGTTAATCTGCGTAGGCAGCTGCCAGTGCCCAGCACCCTCTGCCAGGGCACCCCCGGCACCCCCCAGCTCCGGGCACTCCAGCACCTCCTGAGCCCCCCACCAGCTCCGGATGCTCCAGCACCCACTGCTCGAGCGCAGCACCCCCAGCACCCCATAGCTCTAGTCCCTCTGGCTCCAGCACCCACAACCTGCGGCTGTTCTAGGGATGCTTCTGGGGCTCTCCCCACGCTGCCACGAGGGAGTAAGCTGCAAAGTCCGTTTCCACACTCTTCAACCCCAAAAACTATCTGGGGAACCCCCCTCTGCTCGCCTCAACCGGGCACTGCCTCATCCTCCCCCCCAGTCCTGCCTGGAAGGTCGCTCCCAAGGACATCCGCAGTCCCGGGGACACGAGCGGCCCTTGGGACACCCCGGAGCGGGTGGGAGGTGTCCCCCATCCCAAATAAAGCCCCCTGGGAGCAGGAGGGAGCTGGGTGTCTGGTGGGATATGGCTGGAGCAGCTCTGGCATCAGGCACATCTGGAGCTGCTGGACACTGGATTTGGGCAGTCGGGATATGGGTTTGATCCCCTTGACCCTGGCTGGGACTGGAGCTTAACTGGGACATGCCTGGAATTCCAGGCTGGGAACAAGGCAAGGGCTCTCTGTGCCCCAGGGGGCATACAGATTACGGATTGCAGGGTTTGGATCTTGGATCCTGGCTGGGCTGTGCCGGAGGCTCCGGAAGGAAGGGCCAGGCAGGACCAGGCCGGGCTGTCCCACGCCACTGTGACGCCTCCCGCTCTCCCTGTCCCCAGATAAAATCTGTGACCAGATCAGTGACGCCGTCCTGGATGCCCACCTCAAGCAGGACCCTGATGCCAAGGTGGCCTGTGGTGAGTGGGGGCACCGGGGGACAGTGGGTGGGTGACGCCAGTGGTGACACCGCTCTGACGTCACCTTGTCCCTACAGAGACGGTGGCCAAGACCGGGATGATCCTGCTGGCAGGGGAGATCACCTCCCGGGCCAACGTGGACTACCAGAAGGTGGTCCGGGACACCATCCGGCACATCGGCTACGACGACTCTTCCAAAGGTGCGTCCGGGGTGTCCCCAGCTGGGTGGCAGCACAGGGGTGGCACCGGGCTCACCAACAGCCTCCCCCCCCAGGCTTTGACTACAAGACGTGCAACGTGCTGGTGGCCCTGGAGCAGCAGTCCCCGGACATCGCCCAGGGCGTGCACCTGGACCGCAGCGAGGAGGACATCGGCGCCGGGGACCAGGTGAGAGCAGTGCGGGGCTGCCGCGGGGTCAGTGGGGCGGGGTGGGACCCTGCAGTGTGACTGGGGCTGGGGTGGGACCCCGCAGTGTGAGCAGGCTGGGGTGTGACCCCCCCGTCCCTGTCGGCAGGGGCTGATGTTCGGGTACGCCACGGATGAGACGGAGGAGTGCATGCCCCTGACCATTGTGCTGGCACACAAGCTCAACGCCAAGCTGGCCGAGCTGCGCCGCAGCGGAGCCCTGCCCTGGCTGCGCCCCGACTCCAAGACACAGGTGAGGTGCTGGTGGGTCTCCAAACCCCCGGGGAGCCCCCTGCTCCCCCCTAGCGGCCCCTGACCCGTGTCCCCTGGCAGGTGACGGTGCAGTACATGCAGGACCGCGGGGCCGTGATCCCCATCCGGGTGCACACCATCGTGATCTCGGTGCAGCACGACGAGGACGTGTGTCTGGACGAGATGCGCGATGCCCTCAAGGAGAAGGTCATCAAGGCTGTGGTGCCCCCCAAGTACCTGGACGACGACACCATCTACCACCTGCAGCCCAGCGGGCGCTTCGTCATCGGCGGGCCCCAGGTGCGGCCGAGGGCACCGTGGTGGCGGCACTGTGGTGACCACAGTGACGGTGGTGGTGACGGCATGGCGGTGGCACGTTTGTGGTGGTGGCAGTGGTGGCACAGTGGTGGTCACAGCGTAGCAGTCACGGGTGTGGTGGTGGCAGTGACGGTGCAGTGACGGCTTGGTGGCGACGGTGGTGCCACGCTGGTGGTGACGCTGGTGACAGTGCTGGTGCTGCTGCTGACACTGGTGACAGTGCCGGCACACAGCTGTGACACTGCTGTCCCCCGCAGGGCGACGCGGGGCTGACGGGCCGTAAGATCATCGTGGACACGTACGGGGGCTGGGGGGCCCACGGCGGCGGCGCCTTCTCGGGCAAGGACTACACCAAGGTGGATCGCTCGGCCGCCTACGCCGCGCGCTGGGTGGCCAAGTCCTTGGTGAAGGCCGGGCTGTGCCGCAGGGTGCTGGTCCAGGTGGGTGCTGGGCAGGGGGGGCCGTCCGGAGGGGCCCGGTCCAGGCAGGGACTTGGCCTCACCCGCAGCCCCCCCGCAGGTCTCATACGCCATCGGGGTCTCGCACCCCTTGTCCATCTCCATCTTCCACTACGGCACCTCCCAGAAGAGCGAGCGGGAGCTGCTGGAGATCGTCAAGAAGAATTTTGACCTGCGGCCCGGGGT